GGCTGCACGTCCCGAGGTTGTGCAATCAGCAGCTCTAGCCAAGGATGTCCCACCCTTGCATACGGTGTGCTTGGACCAAGCACTTGCCTGGCTGCATCGGCGGACCGACGACGGTCAAGGCGCTGAACATGATCGATGTAGGGCCCGAACTGCAGCAGATGGAGCTGCTCTTTGAGACCGAGACGGGGGCGCTGCTGATAATCTACCACGAGTGCTGGGTTAGGCTCGACGGAGATGATTGGCACGGATCGTTGGCAACGTGAGAGACACCCTGGTGTTTGCGTTCGGCGGCCAGCGGTTACTGACGGCTCGATGGAAACTACGGCCAAGAACATCCGAAGACATTGAGGATACTTTGGATCAGACGACGGCACCACGAGGAGCAAAAACCAAGCTGCATCGACATCACCGAGGGCAGCATACCTCCAGGTGCGGATGGTCGTGGCGATGGGGGCGCAACAGCAAAGAAGGCACGACGGAATGATGGAAAAGGACTGGGCGCGGAGGAAACGAGAACCAAGACACCCATGTACTTGGTTCATTAAAAGAAACATCATAATTTGCTTTTAGCGTTTCCTACTATGGGCTCTGAGCTGGCCGGACACGCTGAATCAAAACTTCACCCTTTCTTAAACGTTGTCACGCCACATTCTTCAGCGTTTTTCAGGCCCGTCGCTGTGGAACATAATGTTTTAGTCGATCTGTTGATCTGTCGTCGAAGGCTGCCCCTTGTCTTCCCTGCCGTCTTCGCTTTCTTTCTCCCGTTCTTGCCGTAACATCTACAGTAAACCGGATAGTAAGGATGCGCGGTTAGGATGCAAGGGCCTTGGACGCCCATTCCGAAGTTCTTCGAGCGGGGCGCGGCCAACGACACTGGCCAAGGATGGACCGAGGAGGCAAGGATGCAAGGGTACCCTTGGGAGGGATGCCTATCCTTACTATGCGGGTCGACTGTATAGATGGGGCGGTGGCTGCAAGTGGTTCCCGCGCAGAGTTGAACACGGTAGCAACAGCGCGCTCGGACACCAGACTGGCACGCGTGCGAGACAGTCCCCAGAGCACACGGCCCGTCCGCAGAGAGCTCCAACGGTGAACATGGCAGGCTCCAAAAAGCACACGCAACACACAACGAATCGTACGTATTGTTTCAGCGTGCTCAACTTTTTTTGAGACCTGGAAACGCATCGAACATGGTTTCCAGTGCGCCGAGTTGAGCATGGTTAAATAAATGCTCACGGCATACTAGAGCTAATGAAGCCTATGGATGCAGAGGTTGCACAACCTGCCGAGGGGACGATGCACCACCCGATCAGGCCAGACTGTAGCGAAGCTCGAAAGCACGAGTGCGACGGCAGGTGGAGGAGATCATCCAGGGGCAGGAGTTCAGGCGCCGCATCGGCGCGGTAGCTTCGCGTGACCCAGCGGCCGAGGTCTTGAGGGAGGTTCTGGAGCAGGACTTCCGATAGAGACGATGGCAGACGACCTAGAGGACAGTGCAACGATCGACCTCTGAGCCTCCCTGGAAAGACCTCGGCGCACTCGGAGAGCTCGCCGTGGCACGGGGGGGAGTCTTGCGCCTCGGGTGCGCGCCTGCGCGAGCGCCGTCGGAGCGAATCCCGGGTCGTCCTCCTGCTCCAGCTCCTTCGCCGAGGTGTGCCCACTCCCCTGGCTATTCCGCAGCGAGCTGGGCCACGATCGCAACCTAGTGTCAAGGGGTGCAGGGAACCGGGGCAGGAAAAGACGCGAGAACGCCACGCACACTTTTTGCTCCGACAACGATGTGACACCGCAGTCGCGGGTGAATGCGGACGGGAAGCGAGCATGTGAATTGCACACAACAGTGTTGATGAGAACCGATCTGCATCGCGGCCGACAGCGGAAAAGGGAGACCCCGACCCTCGAGTGTGCAAAGTTGCGATGCGACCCGCCAAAGGAAGCCTGAGCGCAGCCCTGCGGCCAGGCACGCGCAGCCGCTGGCGACAGGTGCGCCGAGTGCAGAGGAGTGGCAGAGAGGGCCAGGCGAAGCGTCCGACGCCGCAGCCCGCCCGGGCGCAGATAGAAGGCGCCGAGCGACGATCGGAGAGACGCGTGCCCATGCCGAGCCTGGGGGGGCGACCGCGCTCGGGGTGAGAGCAGCCGCGCAAAGGGCGCGCGCAGCCGGCCGGCGGCCGAGAGAAGCGAGGCGGGATGCGCCTGCCCAGGCGACGCCCGGCGGAGCGACCGCTCCGCCAGGCAGGAAGCAGCGCGGAACAGGCCCGAGGGGGCCCAACCCGGGCAGAGCCGAGAAGAGAGGCGCAGGGACGGGCGGAGGGCGAGCGCGCGCCAACGCAGCGCGAGAGACCCCCCGAAGGCCTGCCAGAGGCGCGCCGCGCTTGGCGGCACCACCCAGCGAGCGCAGTGACAGCAGGGACTGGACTGCAGCAGCCGCTTCAGCCGAAGGAAGGATCCTGCAGCGGCACGCGGTGGACGTGTGGCACTTGGGCTTCGTCATAGCCCGAGCCGAAGGCGAGACGAGGAATGGGAGGAGAGGCCCTGCCTGGCGGAGCGTGGCAAGCGGGACCAAACAAGCGTCGCCGACCTGCCGGGCGCCCGCCACCAGCTCAAGGCGTCGCGGGCCGGCACAGCTCGCCGAGTGCGTGGCCGCCGTATGAAGGATGACGAGAAACGAGGCAACAAGGCGCCAGGTTAAGACAACTTGGCCAGAGGCCGGCCGTCGCCTGGCAGGAAGCCGAGGACCCCCCGGCCCGCGGGGGGGGGGGGGGCTGCTGGCCGGTCCGCGGAGGCACCCAGCCGGCAGAGGCCAACAGGGGACGCCACTCCCAAAGTCCCGCAGACTCCACCAGCCTGTCGGCGGCGACGACAGGGGCGAATAGCCCCGAAGCTCCCAAGCTCCCACACAAGTCCACAGGCCTGCAGGGTACCCGCCCGTTCCGAGGGCGCGGCGCTCAGCCTGCGCTGCGGAATGTTTTTTTTTGTGTGTGTGTGTGTGTGTGTGTGTGCGTGCGTGCGTGCGTGTGTGCGTGCGTGCGTGCGTGCGTGCGTGCGTGCGTGCGTGCGTGCGTGCGTGTGTGCGTGTGTGTGTGTGTGTGTGTGTGTGTGTGTGTGTGTGCGTGCGTGTGTGTGTGTGCGTGTGTGTGGAAAAGCGGGGCCAAGCGAACAGTAAGCCGTACGAAAGTGCTGGTCACCCAGATAGTCCTTGCTAGACTCATCCTTCCTATCTCCATCCTTACCAACAGAATCCTTGCGCAAGGATCATTGCTACGTAACACTTTGAACATACATGTTCGTTAGAACACTGACACAATTCTCAACCAATAATTCTTACTGACGGAACCCTTGTTTGAACGCCGTACATACAACATTGTCCTTGACACATGAATCCTTACATAACTGCAAATCTAGATAAACATATGTATGTGTGTATATTAACTGTACACATTAATCGTGAAGAACTCCGTACAAAACAAGAAACCGTGGCCATCATATGCTGCAATACTGACGTAGTTTGTGCTAAAGGAACCCGTGCGTAAAACACTGAGCCCTTTAACTCACAGCTCCTTGTTACAATAACCCCTCTTGAACAACACCCTAGTAGAGGAACCCTCATGGAAACAACAAGACCAACGGTAAAGGAACCAAGCCTATCTCACCAACATCCGCTGATCTAGCTGCACTAAACAAGCTGTAGCTAACTGCAGCCGTTGCTGTACAAGTGCGGCGTCGAGTTGCAGTCGTAGTGCCATGCATCTTCGTCGTTTCCTCGTTCTTGCACGCGCTGGTCTGCCACCCGCTTCTCGAATCGGTGGTTTCTTCTGCACAGCTTTGCTGCACTGGCCAAGAGCCGATGCGCCGGCAGCCTCTCGCGCTTGTGGCACGGACCCGCGCCGAGACGGCAGCGTGACGGGGAGCCGTCTGCTAGAATAAAGGGGCCCCAGGACACACACACACACACATAAACACACGCAAATAAACAGATTCCCCATATTTCCCCATACTTTTGGGTCTTCGTCTTCCCCCCCACTGCCCAAAGTTTCCCATCTTCTTTGGGGAGTCGACGATTAGTTGTGTCTGTGTGTTTTTGTCCCCTCCTGATGCTAGAACGCACCCAACACGGCACCGAGGCCCCGCTGCTGGGCCGCTCCGGCCCGGCTCGGCCCGGCGGCGCCGCGGGCACCGCCACACAGCCAGGCGCTTCCGCGCGACGTGTGCCTGGCCATGCTGCTGGACTTCGTCGTGCCACGCGCCCGAGCACTTCTCCGAGGCAGTGTAAGACGGGAGCGGGGCCACCCATACCGTCTGGGTAGCAGGGCCACCCTTACCGTCGTGGTCGCACAGCAGGCCAAAAAACGTGCAAGACCAGTCTGAGCGACTCACGCGCAGCAGCAAGCAGGCTTGGACGGCGCAGAAGTTGTGGCACTGGCACCAGCTGCCAACAATTCCATTCACTGGGGGCTGCCCTACACAACAACTGCCAACATGGGGATGTCTGAATGTATGCGGCATAGCCCCCACTGATGCCTTGCTCTGTTGGACGCGGCAACACACAACACATAAACATATTTACGCAGCAACTGACAGCCGGCAGTGATACACAGGCGCCCCGCACACACTCACACTCCCTCCCTCTGTCTGTGTGTCTGTCTGACTGTCTATCTGTTTATCTGTCCATCTGTCTATCTATCTGTCTGTCTGTCTGTCTGCCTAGCTCTCTCTCTCTCTCTCTCTCCCTCGCTCTCTCCCTCTCCCACCTATCACAAACACACGCTGACATCCAAGGCACATTCACACATGTTCGTGCACACGGGCCAACGCATTACCACCATACACGCAAGCTATAGGCAACCACAAGTGCAAACACGCGTGCGCACACGCACACACGCATGCACATACGCACATACACAAACGCTAGCACACGCAAATAGGTTCAGTGGCACAAGAGAGACCAGGCGTGTCCGATGCCAGACCAGCTTCGATGCGGGAATTCTTGCTAATCGTCTGTTCTAGTTCTTGTAAGTCCACGTGAAGTTTTGTATGCCGAGCTTGTTGCAGAAGCACTCTGCATATGGCCTTTGATCAAATGAAGGCGCAAAGGACATTGCAAGCGAACTAGGAAGGTATCGAGTCCCCTTCGTCGATACATCTCCGGTTGTCCCAACGCTATTGTTGTGCTATGTCTCCTGGGAAGGATCTCCACTGTGGAGAAGGCCGCCAACAGCAGCAGCAACAACAAAGAGGAACTTCGATCATTTCGAACATCGAGCTAGCCGTGGATGTTCACAGTTCGGACTAGCCAGACCGCGCAGACATATTGGCAGTGCGTGCTGGAGGTCGACCTGCTGCTGTACACGCGAGTCGCGGAGCGCACGGCGATATCAACAATCCACGCGCATGTCATGCGACCCACGTGTGTGACACTCTGGACAAGGCGAACAACAGGGGAACTTATGGCAATCGTCGGCGAAGGCGGTCGAACACGAACACCAAAGCGGTCCAATCAAGCGAGATATGTGATAAGCGTAAGGAAGCTTCTCAAGCCGAGCTGAACCGATCGAGCCGAATTGAGGCGAATCAAACCAGCCTGAAACAGTTTTTCGGAACCCAAATCGAATCCACTCGATTCCTAGCCCAAGCCGAACAGAACCAGCTCCGAGTTGAGGTCGAACGAACACGAACCTTCTGATCCCTCACTGATCCCTTCCGCTCTCCTCTCCTCCTCCCTCTCCTCCTGCCGCCTGCTCCTCAACCTCCTCCTCCTCCTCCTCCTTCTCCTCTTCCCCCTTCCCCCCCCTCCCCCTTCCCGCTGCTCCTCCTCCCTCCCTCCCCATACTTGTCCTGCTATTCCTCCTGCTCCTTCGTCGTCCTCCTCCTCCTCCTCCTGCCTCCCTTCCTCCTCCTGCTCCTCGTCCTCCTCCTCCTCCCGCCTGCTCCATCCTCCTCCTCCCACCTCCCGCCTCCTCCTCCTCCTCCTCCTCCTCCTCCTCCTCCTCCCTCCTCCACCTTCTTCCTCCTCCTCCTCCCTTCTTCCTCCTCGTCCTCCTTCTCCCTCCTCCTTCTCCTCCTCCTCCTCCTCCTCCTCCTCCTCCTTGTCCTCCCACGGAGACCGGCGGTGCCCCTGGGAGCCCTGCCTCCCGGGACGAGGGGGAGGACGCGGACCCCGAGGCCGGCGAGGAGGGGAGGCTCGGCCAGAGGGAAACCTACGAGGTCGAGCCCGACCGAACTTGGGGGGGAGAACATGCGCGCAACTGCACCGGACCGAACGTTGAGCCGAGAGCGACCGTCCCGGCATCCCTATGGGGCCTACAGTCGGGGCGTTGACCTAAGGAACCCTAAACAAGTAACAAGGAACGAGGCCCCTATTTTCCATAAGTTAACCTTCGATTTCCTACCGGAAACCTAAGGGAAGCCTGAGGCAGGCTGCGAAACACGTAAGGAACGCGGAGCCCCTCCCCAGCGAAAAGGGTTCCTTCTTCAGGGCCCCGGCTGTAGGGGGGGAGAACATGCGCGCAACTGCACCGATCCGAACGTTGAGCCGAGAGCGACCGTCCCGGGCATTCCTATGGGGCCTACCACGACATGTTCTCACAGAACAGAGGAGCGTGCGAATAGCAAGAACAAGGGCCTCAGAATAGCAGACCGACCTGTGGAAACAGGGCAGAGCGAGCCAGACATGTGCTAAGAACAGCTCGTGCAGGCTGCACACAGGTTGTAGACAAGTGTCCGGTGGGCCCATCGGCGAGCCAGGACGCAGCGCCACTGCGCGAGAACGGTGCAGGAGGATCGATCCCGCAGGAGCGCGAAACGTCCCTCGCACCGAAAGCTGGCGCAACTCTCCGTCTGCAGTGTCTCGTTCCGAACAACCAGGATCCAAACATGCTCACATCCTTTCTGGGCGACTCTTTTCCGCCGGCTTCCGCGGGCCTTCCGCTGGCAGAGCCGCCCGCCAGCGGAGCCGCCCTCGCTTGGCTCCCGCTGGCCTTCCGCCGAGGAAGAGATGGCAACCTCTCGATCTCTCGAAGGCGAGGCCCTTTCTGGAATGACTCACGTCTAGGAAGACCATGCTGGACGCCCAGAATGGGTATCCGTCGGTCGGAAGAAATGGGTACAAACATGAACATTAATTAGGAAGGCGTTGGAAGTAGAGTGGGCTTCCACCCGCCCCCCGACGAGGAGTGAAGAGGGACGACCACTCCACTCTTGAAGTAGGAAGGCGTCTAAACTAGATTGGGATCTGGGAATCCAAAAGTACATCATTTCAACGAGCGGCCTGTACGGAACAAATGGGCACGATATCCAACAGCGAACGTTGCTCAAAGCTAACAGCGGGTTCTGTTGGACAGGCGGCCTTTCTGTCTCACGTGGATAGCTTTCGCGGCGACGCCGACAGCGAGTCATATCCAAAATGAACAGGAACGACAAAAGAACAAAACACACCCATACCCATAGGGAGGTCGGAGGGAGGAGGACCGGCGATTGGTATGGGTGCGGGCTTTCGGACCCCCGGGGAGGCTTCCGTTCGAGCGGGGACCCCCATCCGAGTGTTGTTCGCTCGTCAAAGAGCTGCTGTCGGTCATCGTTTCCCATTCTTTCCGTACCCGTAACGATCGTGCGGGCCCGTGCTGCACCCGTTCGCTCGCTCCCGCGATGAGACGCCCGCCGCCGCCGGCGACGGCGGCGGCCCGTGACCCCCGCCTCGGGGGGCGGGGCGTTCGACGCGGCCATCCCCTTGCGGCGCCTCGGCGCGGAGGAGGAGGAGGAGGAGGAGGAGGAGGAGGAGGAGGAGGAGGAGGAGGAGGAGGAAGAGGAGGAGGAGGAGGAGGAGGAGGAGGAGGAGGAGGAGGAGGAGGAGGAGGAGCCTTTTGGGACCCTCAGGGGCCTTTCTTGGGCCGTCTTGGGGCTCTCTTTGGCCGTCTTGACACCCACTTGGGCCGTCTTCGGGGCCTCTGGAGCCGTCTTGGGGCGGCCTTGGGGGCCTCCTGGGCCGTTTTGGACGCTGTGAAGAGCAAAGAAGCGGACATGCTAAAAATGTACGTTTCGCCTACGGGATGGGACGATATTTGCCTCTTGGGGGTTACCTTTGGGGGCCTCCTGGGGCGTCTTGGGGGCCTCTTGGGCTGTCTGGAAGCCAAAGTGGGCCCTCTTGGATCGCTCTTGGGCCGTCTTCAAGCCTTCTTGGACCTCTAACAGGCGCTCTTGGGGCTGACTTGGGCCGTCTTGGGCCGAAGATTGCCGAAACTTGGGGCGATTAGATCTGACGCCCAGGCTGCCTACCCCCCCATCCCCCCTTGTTATTTCTCCCGACTAACGGATCGCGACTCTACGCGCGCTGTCCATCATCTGGGGCTGGGGCTGCCTAGCCTCCCACAATCCCCCTTGTTGTTTCTCCCGGCTAACGGATCGCGACGCTACGCGCGCTTTCCGTCTTCTGGGACTGGGGCTGCCTACCCCCTTCCATCCCCTTCATATTTCTACCGACTAACGGATCACGACGCTACGTGCGCTTTCCGTCATCTGGGTCCTCAATGGCCAACCCCCTCACCCTCCCCTTGTTATTTCTCCCGGGTAATGGATCGCGACGCTACGCGCGCTTTCCCTCATATGGGTCCTCAATGGCCAGGCCCCTCACACTCCCCCTTGTTCTTTTCTCCTGGCTAACGGATCGCGACGATACGCGCGCTTTCCGTCATCCGCCGCCCCTTGTGACCTTGCCACAGGGGTGGTGCCCAGCGTGTCGTATGCCTGGCAGGCGCTTGGTTCTTTCCTGAAGAAATCCCTGTGGGGCTTCGGCCCAGCCCGCCGGCCACCCGGAGAGCCACATAAAGTGCAAGACCTCTAACTCCGTTGGCTTAATCACCTCCAAGACGGCCAAGATGGCCTCCACGATGCTTCCAAGACGGCCAAGATGGCCCCACGAGAGCCCAAGATAACCCCAATATGGCCTCCAAGACGACCCCAAGAAGCCTCCAAGACCGGCAAGATGGTCCAACAGAGCCCAAGACGGCCCAAGAAGCGCCCAAGAGGCCCCTAAGACGGCCGAAGAGACCTCCAAGAGGTCTTCGAGGAAGGCTCAAAGAGACCAACACCATTTATTTCTTCCAGGTGGTTAAAAGATTTCGGCAGTTGCTTCAAAAAGGCCTTGTGACGGATCAAGACGGCCGCTAGGATGGCCCCAGGACGGCCCAAGAGGCTCCCAAGGCGGCCCCCGAAGGGCCCAAGAGGTCTCCAAGACGCCCAATATGGCCTTCAAGATGACAATGCATTTCCGCAAGAAGGCCCCAAGACGGCCCAGGGAAGCTCCCAAGACGGCTTCCGACAATACCAAACGAAGAAGCCCCTAAAGGCCCCCAAGAGGCCCAAGGAGGCCTACAAAAGGCCTCCAAGAGGCCCCCAAGAAGCTCCCAGGATGCCCCAAGAATGACCCAAAAAGCTCCCAAGAGGTCTTCTCATCCTTTTCCTCCTCCTCCTCCTCCTCCTCCTGCTTTTTCCTCCCTCTCCTCATCCTCCTCTTCCTCCCCCGCGTGTTCCCTGAAGGGCTTCCACAACGGCTGGAGAAACGCATGGTCCAATAGCGTGGCCAAACTTTGCCGAAACGTTTGGCCACGCAGGCGCATCATAAAAGGCAAGGGCCCGTGGTGATTCGCCGTAGACGTCTTCGATACTTGTCCAAACCCTACGATACTCATTTGTTTTACCCGTCTCTCAGCAGTGCGGCTCTAAGAGACCATCTTCAAGAGCTTTCTTGTGGCGAAGGTCAATGGGTAACAACTTCTTCGTGAACAACAGGATGAGCCGCAACTTGAGCAACACCATATTACTCTATTATCGCCATCCTGTGCAACTCTGGTCGATTGCAACAGTCGTCAATTTTGTTCAGCAACAGCCGCTAGTAACGATGGATCTTTTGCCGATAGAAGCAACTGGTGTGACGGCCAGCAATGTGCTGGCCATCGTATTGTAGAAGGGCGCCCTGATGGAGGTCACTTTAAAGATGTTTGCGGAAGCGCTTGAGGTGAGGATCAGCCCCATGCCCACTAGATATAGTCTCATCGGGGCGATGGTTATCGCCATGATGAGCACGACCTTCCTGATGAAGATGCGCCAACTGAAGATCGGCGATCCCTATCCTACGGTAGATGAGGCTCATGACGCTGAGCTCCACGTTCTCACAGAATCTGTGCCCTATGACTTACGGCAGGCACCAGCCTCATCGCGCAGAGGATAGACACATCGTGGCGACGGCCTCAACGTGTCTCTCAGCAGCCCTTTCGGGTGAAGTGCGAGAGCATTGCAGGCGGCGGCGGCGGCGGTGCTCGACTGGAGGAGGAGGAGGAGGAGGAGGAGGAGGAGGAGGAGGAGGGGGAGGAGGAGGAGGAGGTGGAGGAGGAGGAGGAGGAGGTGGAGGAGGAGGAGGAGGAGGAGGAGGAGGAGGAGCCAGGACGAGGAGGAGGAGGAGGAGGAGGAGGAGATCCACGTGTCTGCATGTGTGAAGCTCGAGAGAGAGCCGCGGATGATGGATGGTGGCTGCCACGAGACAGAAGGGGAGAGGCAGCGCCGCGCAGGCCGCGCAGCCAGCACGCCGCGGGGCGCCCGCCCGCGCCCTCGCAGGCAGTGACCGCCTGGCAAACGGCGGTCCTCCTGTCCGCGGCGCGGCAAGTTCCCCTAAAAGCCCTAGAAAGATTATGACTGGGGCTTTCCTCCGGTATCATTTTGCATTCCGGCATGCACGGTCGGGCCGAGGTATACGATCGAGGTCGGCTCGGGGAGGCTATCCCAGGGCTCTTCGTTTTTGCTGGGCATTCTTTGTGCATTCCGGCATACACGGTTGGGCCGAGGTGTACGGTCGAGGTCGGTTTTGGGAGGATATCCCGGTGTTCTTCGTTTCTGCTGATACTCACGCAGAGAGGAGCAGGAGCAGCAGGAGCAGGAGCAGCAGGAGAAGGAGAACGAGGGCGACGACCACCGCGAGGGCGCCTGCGCCGCTTGTGCTGCTTCGGAGTCTCCCGGAGGGCCTCCGTGAGCCGCTCGTTGAGCTTCGACAGCTCCTGCTCAAGCTCCTGCAGCCGCCGCCTCTTCATCTTCGTCCTTCTCCTCCAATCGAAGATGAAAACGACGGTGCAGGTGATGGGTAGGATGATGATGGTGCTACTGATGATGATAACGGTAAGGATGATGATTATGATGATGATGGCGATCATGATGATGATGATGACGATGATGGTGACCATGGTGAGTGTGACGATAGTTACGGTGGTGATGATGCTGATGATGATAATGATGATGGTAGTGGTAGTGATGATGCTGACGATGTTGATTGTCTTTAGATGACGATGATGCTGCTGATGATGATGCTGCTGATGATGATGATGATCATGATGATGCTGATGATGCTGATGTTGATGATGGTAATGCTTGTGATTATGATTGTGATTTTTATGATGCTGTTGTTGTTGATGATGACGGTGGCGATGCCGACGATGATGATGCTGATGATGATGACTATGACGACGAGGAGGATGAGGATGAGGATGAGGATGAGGATGACGATGCTGCTGATGATGATGCTGCTGATGATGACGAGGATGGTGGTGGTCATGATGGTGATGATGCTGATGATGATGCCGAGGATGCTCAGTACTACTGCTACAACAACTACTACTACAACAACAACAACTACTACTACTACTACTATTACTTCTGCTAGTAGCACTGTAACAGCTATTATTTCATAATTACGATTGTGATCGTCATCATCATCATCACCATCACCACCATCACCATCACCATCACCATCACCATCACCATCACCATCACCATCACCATCACCATCATCATCATCATCATCATCATCATCATCATCATCATCATCATCATCATCATCACCATTGCGAGTATTATAACTCTTCTAACTAGTTTTCGAATTATTAGAACTCATTTTCTTCATGCTATCCTTCTCAGTGGTATTCTTATCCGTCGCCCCTCTTGCGGGGCCATGAGGCTGCGAGGCTCAGGCCTGCTGCTCCCTGCTCCAGTTGCAGGCTCCAGCTCCCAGTGTGCCAATTTCCCTTTGGGGGGAGAGCCCCGCACCGCCCGGCTACCACGCCCGGACCGCGCGCTCCGAATTCCCGAGGGGGCGCGGGACACACAAAAGTTCCTCAGAGCTGGGCGCGGCCGCCATGCAACAAAGCCTGGCACGGACGACGTCTTTTCCTGTCGAGGACGCGTCCAGTATCAGCAGGACGAGGTGCAGTGAAGGCTAGATACGCGGAAATACACGAGATTCGCGCCCCCGAGGCCACCAACTCCACTAAATCATATAATTCGTGCGCCCCCGAAACCGTAATCCTTTTGTGTGTGTATATATATATATGTATATTCAATATTCGCGTGCCCGAGGCCATAAACCCTTGCAGATTACGCCATATTCGCATTGCCGAGGCCAAGAATGCTCCAAGGCGCCCGAAGTTGGTTCCAAGACGGCCCAAGAGGGCCCCAAGCTGCCCCAAGAGCGCTCCAAGAGGCCCCCCGAGAGAGCCCCAAGAGGCCCGGCTTTTCTCGCCGACTCGCATCTTCGGCTTTCCGACGCTCCAAGACGGCTCAAGAAGCTCCCAAGACCGCCCCAACACAGCCCAAGAGGCCTCCAAGAGGGCCCCAAGACGGCCCAAGAGGGCCCTAAGATGGCCCAAGAAGCGCTCAAGACGGCCCCAGGGGGCCCCAACGGATTAATGGCGAGGATGTCGACGAATCTGATGACGGTGGTGATAACCATGCTGTTGGCGATGATGATGTTCATGATGGGGATGGGGATGATGATGATGCTGATGATGCTGCTGCTGATGCTGCTGCTGATGATGATGACGATGATGATGCTGCTGATGATGCTGCTGCTGATGATGCTGCTGATGATGATTGACGATTGGATCAGTTGTGCTTGCCGAGTGGCGTGGCATTTGTCCGCCCCCTGCCTGCGCCAATGGACACCGCGCGCCGTCGTCGACCATAGGCGCGCATCACCATCGGGCGGGGTAAGCGTCCCAGGGGCGATGAGGAGGGGAGGAAGTGGAGGAGGAACACGCAAACGCCACCAGCACGCCAGGACAACGAGCCCGGCAGCTCGTGCTCAACGTGGTCCTGCAGACAAGGGCCGCCATTCCTCCCCTCGTCTTATGTTGTTCCCACCGTACTTAAGGACCACATCCCAGAAATAATTTCGAGCACCCGGAAGAGTGTCGAACGAGTGTCGAAGCAGTGTCGGACGAGTGTCTCCCTGGGCCAGACACGTGAAAACCTTCGAGTTTCGCTACTTGTTTCTGGTGCCCGAATTTTTTCTGGTAATCATGGCTAAAGTAGGTTGGAACATCATAACCCTCGTCTTCCACCTCCTGTCCCGAAGACGAGGTCAGGACTTTCTGAGGTCCAGCTGTTCCGAGGGATTTATCGGGCACCGTGGCTGCTCCAGAGCGGCCCAGACTGCCCGAAAGCGTCCAGGGCACGCTCTGGAACGAATTCGTCCCTGTCCGAAACCAGCCCGAACGTGTTTGTAACACACACAGTGTGTGTTTTTGTTCCACAGTGTTGTTTCTTCTGTTTTTACAAACTGTTTTTTTGTAGTATTTGTTGTTGGTTGTGCCGTTTTGTGTATGTATGTATGTATATATATATATATATATATATGCATGTGTGTGTGTGTTGTGCTGTGTTGTTGTTGTCGTTGTCGTTGTTGTTGTTGTTGTTGTTGTTGTTGTTGTTGTTGTTGTTGTTGTTGTTGTTGTTGTTGTTGTTGTTGTGTGTGTGTTGTGTGTGTGTGTGTGTGTGTGTGTGTGTGAGCTTTTTTTCCACAGCTCCCTCCCCCTCTTCTTGGGCAGGCCACTGGAGCGAGTGTTCGGAGCGTCAGTCCCTCCCCACCGCTCCTCCGGTGCCCGGACAAAAAGGTGTCCACACCCAGGGCGGCACGACACTGTGGCATGATAGCAGCCACACCTGCGTGACGCCATTGCCTCGCACCCCTCCCCCCCGAACCCAAAGTTGAAGCGTCCACACTTTGTCCCTGGACCGCGGCCTGCCGCCCAACCCCGCCAACTTCGAGTTGGGGGGGAGGGGGCTCTACATATCCGATCGACGCGATGCCATGACGACTCGTCTTGGCGCGACAGGTGTGGACACTTTCTGTCCGCCCACCGTCCTGGTCCAGGTGCTGCGGGTGCGCCCTGCTCAGCACGGGTGCGCAATCGCGTCTGCCAGGGGAGCGAGGATTCGCGGGCAAGGTGGCCCAGGACGCCAGATGAGCCAGTCTCCAGAAGGGAGCGTCCACGACCTTTCCCATGCACTTCCTCTTCCTCCGCCCCCTCCTCCCTCAGGATCGACCCCTGGACCTCTCCTGGGCGAGCTCTTGCCAAAATCTCGAGGCGAATCCAGCCACGGCAGCGAGGGCGCCACCACCCAATCCTGGGCTCGAGCTCAGGCTAGGGCGAACTCGGGCTCGGGCTCGGGCGCAGGCGCGGGCTCGGGCGCGGACTCAGGCTCCGGCTCGTGCTCGAGCTCGGGCTCCCCTATCGGATGCCAAAGCAAATCCGCAAGACAGCCAGAGAGTTCCTGCTCCTCTCCGCCCCCGGCCCCTCGCGCCTCGCGCCTCTGCCTCGAGGTCGGGGTCCTGCCGTGCGGCGTCCTGCACGCGTAGCCCTGGCGCGGGTGGTGGGCTGGGGGCGGCGGGGCGGAGGGCGGTGGGCGGCGAGGCGGAAAAGCATGTCTTGCCCAGCCCTCCTGTGTGTTGGGTCCTCGGTTCTTCCTTCCTTCATCCTGCACGTCCCCCCCCTTCTCCTCTCCCATCCTCCTCGTATCTCGTAGCTGGTGGCATGCGTGCCAGCCTGACGCTGCCACCCTCCCTCCTCCTCCTCCTCCTCCTCCTCCTCCTCCTCCTCCTCCTCCTCCTCCTCTTATCCTCGCGGCCCGCCCTTAGCGGTCGTACCCGGGCCCGAGTCCCCTCCCCAGGCCCAGCCCTTAGAGGGCGCGGGGGGGGGGATATCCTGGAGGACGGAGCATTGCAGCCCTATGCCGCCGAAGGCTGGCGTGGCAGTGGAGCAGAATGCCATGGCGAATCTTACCGAATCCGCCTTCTGGCCCATCCCCACCCCTACAGTCGGGGCCTTGACCCAAGGAACCCTAAATAAGGAACGAGGCCCCTTTTTACCATAAGTTAAACTTCGATTTCCGATCGGAAACATAAGGCAAACCTGAGGCAAGCTGAGAAACACTTAAGGAACGCGGAGCCCATCCCCAACGAAAAGGGTTCCTTCTTCAGGGCCCCGACCGTACATCACCCCGTCGGGGTGCGCCTCTGCCCGTCGCCCGCATCTCCAGGAGGCGCGAGGGTCGTCTGGAGGCCGCGGCGGGCAGGCGGGCCAAGGCTGCGGCGACGTCAACATGGCCAGGACGGCGGCGACCGCATAGATCGGGGAGACGTAAGACTCGGGTACGGGGGACTCGGGTTGGCCCGACAGGGCCATCATAAAAATGACGAGGCCCAATCTGAAATTTGACGCGAGCTCCCGCTGCAGACACCCCACGAAAACTGGACCGTCAAAATCCAGGACGTGCTCGTCAAAAAAAGTCGGCAAACCCAAGTTCCGGCTTACTCGGGTCTTGCGTTTCCCCGAATAGAGGCGGCGACCGTTTGGATCGCCAGTGCGCCCTGAGCGCAAATTCGACCAGAACCAAAGCACTGGCGTGCAGCCGCCTGCCGGGCGGTACATCCGCGGCGGGGGGTGCTGTTAGACAACGCTCTGCGCCGACGTATGCTTGCGAGCGTGGGGGGCCAAGACGCCCTGGGCGCAACTAGTTGTATCGACATGTATTTTGACCGGCGGTCGAACGACGGTCATCGCTCTACAGACGAGCACGCGCCCACCTGTTGCCCCACGGGTAGCGCTCCGCCTTGCTGTGGAGGAGGCTTTCCTCTATCACCCGCAGGCCGGCGATCAGTCCCGCTGGCGAGCTGCCCAACCGTCACCCCTGGAGTGCTGTGGAGCAGGTCCCCCAGTCACCCATAGGCCGGCGATCAGTCCTGCTGGGGAGCCAACCAACCGTCACCCCTAGAGTGGCGACGAACCCGCGTGGAGCAGGGCTCCCTTGTCACCCTTCAGGTGGAAGGGTGCCCAACTGTGGACAGGCTCCACCCAGAAATCGCCACGGTAGCGGTCGGCTATCCTGTGGAGCAGGTCCCTCGTGGCATCTTACAGCGGAGACATCGGCGGCAGTGGAGGGGGTCCGCCCCGTCCACCTTTGGGGGGACGATCCGGCCTGCCTGAGAGCTGCCTACCCGTGTCACCCCTGGGGTGGCGATCCGACCTGCGATGGCGCAGGTCCCACTTTGTTAACCCTAAGGTGGGGTCCAGGCGTGCTGCAGAGCAAATCTCCATGAGGCTCTGATGCGAAGCGGGTCCCTCCCCCGTCACCGCCAGGATGGCGACCCTCCCTGCGGTGTAGCAGGCGCACATGTCCCAACTAGGGTAGCAAGCCGTCCTGCCTTGTGGCCCCCGGTGAACTGCCCCGGGCCCCCCCCCCTACAAGGATAGGGAGCCATCGTGTGACGCTATTCTGGGGATGCCAGCCCATCCTCTGATCAGGTGGCGAGACACGCATCATGAAATATCACTAGGAGGCGATAAGGGGCTATCGTACAACATCCCCCGCCAAACCGAATGTGTCGAACAGAGGTGGCTGTCTCGAGGTATGCTGACCACGCATACCATCCACCGACACCAGGTGCCAACAACAGTCCCTGCATAGGCGCAGGGACCAGAAGGCTTGTCATTCAACCTTCACGAGCACCTCCACAGGGTCATGAGTACCCTCAAAGGAATTCGCACTACACTGCAATCCTCCTCCTCCTCCTCCTCCTCCTCCTCCTCCTCCTCCTCCTCCTCCTCCTCTTACACCTCCTCGGTGGGCGACGAGGCGGACGGGCTTTTTTCCCAGGACGCCAGAGAGAGAGAGAGAGAGAGAGAGAAAAAAAAAAAGAGATGACAACTGCCGCTGCTGTCCCCAATTACGCTTCGTGCGAATACGAACAATCGTCAAGGCGGCCCTCCCAGCCGACAGAACCTGACAATAGTATCTTGTAGTCCAACTGAGAGCTTC